GGGGGGCGGTGAGAGACTTCTCCCGCCGGCATGGCGCACTATATCACCCGTAGAGGCCTCTCTATAGTCGCCTTTTGGCACCTCCTCTATCCCGCCGCCGATTAGACCTCGCCGCATCGCATCGCCCCCTTCCCTGCCCCGTCGCCCTCCTGAGCTCTCCCTCCTTCGCTCCAGCCATGCACAGGACGGCTGGACCATTGGCCCGCGTGCCAGGCGTCCGGGACGGCCGGGTATCGGCTCCGTACTTTGAGCCCTCTTGGGCCACCCTCGCGTCCACCGGCCGGCAGAGCACCGCTTGGGCGACTCAGACGGCCCGCCCGACCAGCGCGTTCGATCGTGCCGCCCCCACAGCGTCAGTGGCGTGCGTGGGGTGGCAGGCGGCGTCAGCGCAGCCCCTCGTGGGGGTGCCCACCGCTCTCCTCTCACCGCTCCCCCCCGCCCGTGGCACCCCACACACTCGTCCCTCCTCAGGGGCGCAAGGCGGCACGGCACGTTCAGCGCTTGCCTCGGCCCACCTCGCCTTCACGCCCGCCACCGCGACCAAGGAGGTGGCCTCGGCGGCCCAGATGAAGCCCGTGCGGCTCGTTTGGGAGCCGCATGCCGTCCCTCTCTCGCCGGCGCTGCTCACCACGCCCAAGCCTACGCCGAGGAACCCGTCGCGCCCGTCGCTCACGAGCTGGTGGCTCGCATCGACCGAGCCGTCCAGCTTTCTCACGCCCTGCCCACGATCAAATTCGAGACGACCAACATCCGACCACAAAAAGGCCCGCGCGTGCTGCGCGGGCCGGCGAGCGACTAGCGAGCCAACCTGCTAGTGCAGTAGATAAACACTTCATTCAGTCTTCATACCGGACACCGCACTAAATTTAGAGCCAAGCCTGGCGAGGTACTCCCACGCCTCTCGTGGTTTTTGTCTGGCCGAGTCAACCCGAGCCTCGGCGAGACTGCGTCAGCTGTTCCCACAGCAGGCTGGAAGTACCTCGCCGAGCCAAGCGCCCCTCTGTGTTGAGGCTCGCAAAAAATGGGAGACGTGAGCGTCGCTGACGACGAGTCCGACTCGACCGCCGACCTGCCGCTCACACTTGACCTCCTCCCCGAGGATGCGCTCACTCGCATCCTCGAGGCGATTAGCGGAACGCACCACGATCGGCGGCGCCAACTTTTCGCGGCGGCCTGCACCTGCCGACGGCTGCACGCCAGCGCGGCGCGCGCGGCACGCGAGCATGTGCTGTCGCTGCTGCCTCCCGATTGCCCCTGGGTCGGGCAGCCGCCTCCGGTGTGTCAAATATACCTCGGGGTGGGAGCACGCACGCGCAGACGCAGACGCTAGCACGCACACATCGCAAACAAGCCGACTCGGTCACGGCGGACACGCCGCCCGCTCGGCAAAGGTGTGGTCGCGCTGCTACGGCGAGGCGTGCGAGCTCTGGCGTGCGAGGTGGCGGAGCGCGCCCGATGATTTGAATCTGAACGAGGGGCATTCGATCGCCTGCCCGCCGCAGCCAGTCTTTGCGCACTCCGCCTCGCTGTGGCGGCAGAAGCTCTTTGTCTTTGGGGGCAGGCACTCGGAGACACGCCCAGACACACACACCCTGGACGCTCAAGCTCTCTCTCTCTCTCTCTTTCTCTCTCTCTCTATTCCCCCCCCCTCTCGCTCTCTCTCTCTCTCTCTCTCTCTCTCTCTCTCTCTACTCGGCAGGGTTAATTATCATTATTATGATGGCGATGATTTTCAGGCACACCGAGACGTACAGCGACTCGCTCCCATGGTCGACCTCTCCTTCCCGCTCCCCGGAGGGGGGGGGTGGCACCCTCTGGGCGCCCCCTCTAAGCGGCGGAGGCTACGGCCACCGCTGCGACGGGCCGGTCTTACATTTGTGGGGGGGTGGGTCGCCGACTCCGAGACTACCGGTGGACTTGCACTTCTTCTTCCCTCACGCGGCGGAAAATTGGGGGTGCATAGTCTCTGTCTGGGGGCCTTAGGTCTCCCCT